GAGCAGAGGGGGGGAGTGGAAAGGGAAGTGAAGTGGGGGAAGGGAGGCAGGAGGAGGGGGGAGGCAGGAGGGAGCAGGCGGGCGGGCAGGCGGGAGGGGACTCGAGGACGGGACACACGCACATCCGTCGCCGTATCTTGTATTTTCGAGGTGTTGGCTGCCTCTCGTCCTGGGTCGTCTTCTCTGGAGGCCCTGGGGCGTCACGCTGTTCTGGTGCCGAAGGCCCGGGGTCTCCCGCCTCGCGCTCCCGACGGTTGCGCCAAGGGAGGGCCGAAGGCGGGGTTGCGCAGGTCGCTCCGAAGGCCGCTCTGCGTTGTCCTCCTGGCGCTGCGACGACGAGCCCAGAGGTGTGGACGACGAACATGAGGACGCGACGACGACGGCGATGGTCATGGTGATGATGATGACGATGACGATGACGATGACGATAACGGCGATTGTGGTGATGATGCTGCTGGTGATGATGCCGATGATGAGGACAATGATCACGACGACTCTGATGATGATGACGACTCTGATGATGCGGTGGCTGCTGATGATGCAGATGCAGCTGCTGCTGCTGCTGATTGTGATGGTGATGCTCATGCTGCTGCTGACGCTGATGCTGATGCTGATGCTGATGCTGCTGATGCTGATGCTACTTGTTACGTTTATGATGATGCTGCTGATGATGATGGATGCTGATGCTACTGCTGGTAGTAGTGATGATGATGCGGCTGATGATGAGGATTATGATACAGATGATGCTGATGATACTGATTTTGATGATGATGCTGATGCTGATTCTGCTGATACTGATGATGCGGACGACGAATAGGATGCTGATGCTGATGCTGAGATGCTGATGGCGATGATACTGATGATGATGCTGATGATGCTGATGCTGCTGCTGCTGATGATGATGATGATGACGGTACTGATGATGATGCTGATTATGCTGATGACGCTGTTGTTGATGATGATGGTGATGCTGCGGATGCTGATGCTGATGATGCTGAGTATGATGCTGATGATGCTGACGATGTTGATGATGCTGATAATGCTGATGGTACTCATGTTAATGCAATGGTGTCTGCGATGACGACAACGAAATATGGAGATGATGAAGCAGACGATGCTGTTAGTAATGCTGAGGCAAGTGACGATGATGATGGACGGTGGTGGAGGTGATGATGACAGTGGCAACGTGGACGACGTTAAGAAACACGAGAAACGGACGCTCCTGGCCCTACCATTAACTCTGGTGCAATAGCAGCCCTGGCCCCCCTCTTTGGCAGTGCCCTTGCCAGCTTTCCGAGCCGCGCCCGCACGTGTGGCAGATAAGGGCCCGTGCAGGAGGGTCCCCAAACGTCCAAGAACTAACGCATCAGCACTGTTTTTTTGTTGAAGTCCTCGCGGACCTTTGACAGTGTCTCTCCCCACCATCCTGTTGTGTTGGGTACTCGCTGTTTTTGCAGAAGCGGCGCCCCGCGCCACTCACCTCACCTTGCCTCCCTCCTCCTCCCTCCTCCTCCCTCGTCCCATCCTCCCTCCTCCTCCCTCCTCCTCCCTCTTCCTCCCTTCTCCTCCTCCTCCCTCCTCCTCCTCCTCCTCCTCCTCCTCCACCTCCCTCCTCCTCCCTCCTCCCTCCTCCCTCCTCCTCCTCCCTCCCCCTCCCTCCCCCTCCCTCCTCCTCCCTCGTCCCCCTTCTGCCACTCTACCCTCCGCGCGTCCAGCTTGGAAACACCCCCTCGGGCGCTTCGTGGCCCCCCTATCGGGGAGCTCCACCGAGGCGCGCCCAGTGGCATGCGCTCGCCTGCCGTTCCCCGCCCATGTCGGTACACCCTCCTCCTCCTCCTCCTCCTCCTCTTCTCCTCCGTTCTCCCCCTCATCCTCCTCCTCCTCGATCCTCCTCCTCCCCCTCCTCCTCCTCCTCCTCCTCCTCATCCTCTGTCTTCTCTCCGTCTTCGTTTGCCCCTATCGGGGAGGAGCTCCACCGAAGGCTCCAGCGCCTCTGCCCCTCTGCGCTAGCATGCGGCTCCCCGCGAGTCGGGGGCCACCCCCCACACGCCATCGTGGCCCTGTCGGGAGATTCGACAGAGGCTCCAGCGCCTGCGTTCGCACCAGTTTTGGGGGGGGGGTGGGGGGCCCCCCCGCCCATCTCGGCGCATCGCTCACGCGTTGCGTGGCCCCACACATTGGCTCAAACAAAGGCCCCACCTGATGCGTTCCCATGCGGTTCCCCGCCCATGTCGGCGCATTCCCGACAAGTTTCGTGGCCTCATGGGGTGCCACACGAAGGCCCAAGTGGCAGGGTTCGCATGCGGTTCTCTGCTAATATCGACACATCCCTCGCACTCTTCGTGGCCCCATAGGGAACTCCATCGAAGGCCTGTACGGCAGGGTTCGCACACGATCCCCCCGCCCATTACAGCACGCCCCTCACGCGGTTCGTGGCTCCCTAGGGATTTCTGCCTAAGGCCATAGTGGCGACGTTCACATGTGTCCCTCCCGCTCACTACTGCGCCCTCTCACACGTTTCGTGGCTCCATAGGGAGCTTCGCCCAAGCCCCCACTGGAACCGTTTGCATGCGTCTCCCCAACTACGGCGCATCTCTCGCACGGTTCGTGGCCCCATAAGGAGCTCCACCGAATGCCCCAAATGGCGACGTTTGCACGCGTCTGCCCTATTTCGGCAAGCTCCTCACACGTTTCGTAGCCTCCATCCGCATGTCCTTTCTCGTTTCCCGCCCCTCCCCTGTCTGCCTGCTTTCCCTCGCTCCTTACTCTCGTCCCCTGTTTCTCCATGGCTGAAGAGCTCTCTGACGACGGTTGCGCTCGCGAGTCGGCGGAGGGCCAAGTTAGGGGACTCGCCAACCGCTGCTCGCCCCGCCAGGGCGGCTCCACGGGTCCTCCCGACAAACACGGAACTACGCACTTCTTGTCAACTAGTGGATCTGGTCGTCCCCTCCCCCGCCGTCTCTGCTTCGCTCTCCCCCGACCCCTCGTCTCGGCGCATGCCTCGATCAGGAGATGGCCCGCCAGCAGCGCACGATCGACCTTCTCGCGGGTTGGGGCACCCCTTGTCCCGCCGCCTCTGCCTCCTCCCCTCCCGGCTTCTCCCCATGCCTCGGCACTCGCCTTGCCCAAGAAATTGTGAGCCAGCCTTCGGATTGGACAGTCAGGATCGTTACGGCTCGCCCTCGGTTGGTCTCCCCTCGGGAGGGGGCGCGCAAGTCACCAGGGGCGATCTCAGTTGCGAGCGTCGCCTCAGTTCCCTGACCCCTTCCCCAGACCCCCTTGCCTGTGCCTGGTCAGTGCCGGATCCGCAGGACCCAGCTCCCCCTCCGGAGAACGACGCCCCAGCTTCCAGATGGGCGGGTGCCCTGGTCAGCAGCCGTCCCGCTCCCCCCAGCCGCCACCGCAGGGGGGGGGTCCCCGGCGCTGCCGCTTCCGGCCCCCTGGCCCCCGCCCCCGCCCGGCGGCAGCCTTGGGGCCTGCTGGCCTGCCGCCGCGCGCCGGCGACGCTCCGTCCCCGCCCCCCTGTCCGAGGCCTGCGGCGCGAGGGGCCCCCACGGCGCCGCCTCCTGGACTCCCCGCCCCGCTGGGTCGGGCCCTCCAGCGCGCCGCGCCCCTGGCCGACCGCGATTCGCCCTTCCTGACCCACAGGGTCTCCCGCCCGCGGAGCGGGCAGGGAGTTCGTCCCTCCCGTGGCCCCGCGGGCCCCCTTCTGCGCACCCAGAGCCCAGTGGCCAAGAGGCGGCCGACAGTGGACCCCGCGCGACGGGCCGTCCCAGTTCTATCGGCGACGGTCGCGCCCCGCCGGAGGACCTGGCCACG